CTGCGGCCCCCACCCTCTCCTCCTCATTGAGAGAGCCATCTTCCGTCCATCCAGTCTTTCTGAGACTATATTGCTTACGTTGCTGTAGCGTGTGGAACCGGCTGTCGTGACAGTGGGCCCCCACATGCGAGCCTGGGAGAGCGTTTCTCAAGCCGGGCGCTGGCGGCTCCCGCCTGGCGTCCCAGCGACTCAGGAAGCTGAGATCTGAGCATCACGGTTCAAAGCCAGCCCGGGCAGGAACATCCATGAGACTAATCTCCAATGAACCACCAGAAAACTGGAAGTGGCGCTGTGGCTCAAGCAGTAGAGCGCCAGCCTTGAGCGAAAGAAGCTCAGGGACAGCGCCCAGGCCCTGAGTTTAAGCCCAAAGACTTAGCAAAAAAAAAAAAAAAAAAGTAGTAACTAAAAATAGGAAACCACAGAGCTGAAATTCCACCCCCAGTGACAAAGCGCCGTCTTCACAGATTGAGCCTGAGCCACGGTCTCGGCTTTGAAGATCGTCCTGTCCGATTGCAGACAAAGACCGGTTTTGGAAAGGAAACGCAGGCCCGGGGCAGTTTGGTGTTCTTGGGGATCCCCTGTTCTGGATCCCCTGTTCTGTCACGTGAGCTTTTACTGTCAAGACTGCACTTATGCAAAGATGGATTAAAGAACCACCTTCCACAGGGTTATCATCTTTTTATTTTTGGCCAGAGGGCTGGAGACAATACTATAGTTTGAACTTGGCCTCACACTTACTAGGCTGATACCAACACCTCCAGCCCAAGTTTTTCTGTAGGTCAGTTTTGTTTTGTTTTGGTTTTTTGTTGGTCATGGGGCTTGATCTCTGGGTCTGGGCGCTGTCCCTCAGCTCTTCAGGTCAAGGCTGGCGCTCTACCACTTGAGCCACAGCGCCACTTCCGGCTGGTTTTGAACCGTAACTTCAGATCTCAGTTCCTACCTAGGATGAAAGGCGTGAGCCACCAATGCCCAGCTTGTAGGTCAGGGTTTTTGTTGTTGTTGTTGCTGTTGTTGGTCGTGGGCTTGAACTCGGGGCCTGGGTGCTGTCCCTGAGCTCTTCGCTCAAGGCTGGCGCTCTACCACTTGAGCCACAGCGCCACTTCCCGTTTTCTGGTGGTTCATTGGAGATCAGAGTCTCACAGGGAATTAATTGCCTGTCAGGCTGGTTTTGAACCATAATCTTCAGATCTCAATTCCTAGCTAGGATGACAGGCGTGAGCCACCAATGCCCAGCTTGTAGGTTAGGGTTTTTGTTGTTGTTGTTGTTCTTTGTGGGCTTGAACTCTGGTCCTGGGCGCTGTCCCTCGGCTCTTCGCTCAAGGCTGGCGCTCTACCACTTGAGCCACTGTGCCACTTCCGGTTTTCTGAGTGGTTTATTGGAGATCAGAGTCTCACAGACTTTCCTGCCCCGGGCTAGTTTTGAACCACGATCCTCAGATCTCAGTCCCGAATAGCTGGGATGACAGGTGTGAACCACTGGCACCTGGCTTTGGTAGGTCAGTTTTTGAGAGAGGGTCCCTGCCTGGGCTGGGCTGGAACTGCGATCCCCCTGTTGTTAACATTCCCTGGCACAAGACAGCAGCGGTGAGCCTGCTCACCCGGCTCTCCGGCATCAGGGAGAACTTTCACCCTGGGGTGCTGAACTTGCTTGTCCGCATCCGCTTGGTTTCCCCTAAGGTCACCAGGCTGCAGGTAGAGGCCGCCACTGCGCATGTCCCCTGGACGGTTGGTGTCTCGCCCGCCACGCACGCTGACTGACAGGCGTGCTTGATGGCGTGGGGGGGGGGAGACTGGCTTCTGGTGCGAGGCCAGGCTGTGCGTAGAGGCTGCGGGTGTGCGGGAGGAGGGAGTCCTAGCTTTCCTCCCCCCCCCCCCAGGCTGGAGTATTCCCAGGACTCCTCTGTGTGAGGGAACTTCCCCCCAGGCCCTGCTGCTTGTGGACGGTTGGGACGAGCACTGGAGCTGGAGTCTGACCCGCGGTCAGGCGGGTGGCGCATGGCAGCATGCGTTCCCATGGCGTTCTCTGGCCTCCCCCCAGCTTTTCTATCTCGTTCTCAAATGTTTCCGGTGGGACTCAGGTTTGATCTCACACACCCAGCCGGGCGCCCTGCCCCCCCCCCCAGTCCCACAGTGCTGAGTTTCTCTGGCAGAACGGCACATTTATGGTTTACTGTCTAGACGTAGTTGTGGTTCCATGTCGGGGCTTGAACTCGGGGCCTGCGCTCTGTCATTTCACTTCTGTGCCTAAGGCTAGTGCTCTACCACTTGAGCTGGTGAGTTAAAGACTTTTCCTCTAGGTTGACTTGAACTGAGATCCTCAGATCTCAGCCTCTGGAGTAGCTGGGATGATAGGCATGAGCCACTGGTGGCTCACATCCAGATTGGTGGTGGTGGTCTTTAACTCAGGGCCTGGGCACTGTCCCTCAGCTCTTCAGGTCAAGGCTGGTGCTCTACCACTTGAGCCACAGTGCCACTTCTGGTTTTCTGGTGGTTCATTGGATGTAAGAGTTTCATGGACTTTCCTGCCCAGGCTGGCTTTGAACCACGACCTTCAGATCTCAGCCTCCTGAGTGGCTGGGATGACAGATGTGAGCCACTGGTGTGCAGCATCTAGATTTTTGTTGTTGTGGGTCTTGAACTCAGGGCCTGGGCGCTGTCCCTGAGCTCTTTCACTCAAGGCTGGTGCTCTACCACTTGAGCCACAGCGCCACTTCTGGTTTTCTGGTGGTTCATTGGAGATCAGAGTCTCCCAGACTTTCCTGCCCAGGCTGGCTTTGAGCCATCATCCTCAGCTCTCAGCCTCCTGAGTAGCTGGGATGGCAGGCGGGAGCACCGGCGCCCGGCTTGGAGACACCATGTTAATGCTTCAGGTGTTTCCCCACAGTGGACACTTGCGGGTGGGCGGGGGGGGGGAGCGGGTGCTGGGTGCAGCACTGGCACAGACATCAGGACGTCAGGACGCTGCTCTCTGGAGACGCACCCCCCTGTGCCACAGCAGGCGGGGACCCCCAGGGCTTGGAGCGTGTGGACCCTCCTCGCTCGAGCGACTGACAGCCGCGGCTCTCGTTTGGACAGGTGTTCGTGTGCTTGTGGAAGGGCTGCAAAGTGTACAACACGCCCTCCACCAGCCAGAGCTGGCTGCAGAGACACGTGCTCACACACAGTGGCGACCGGCCCTTCAAGGTACGTGCTGCTGCG